GAACTTCGAACAGTAAAGTTTGGAGGGCGGTTGCATGATGTCGTTAAACCGACGGCATTCTATAAAACTTTGGCCACAATACCACCAAAAACAAATGTGAAAAAATATTTAAAAAAAAATCTCAATCTCTCTTTTTTGAAATAATATTATTTATTTACTTTATTAAGTACTAGAGTCAAATGTTTAGTAGATAAGGGTTTTGAAAGTATTTGTTTTTTTTAATTTAATTAAATATTATAGGCGCTACAACCTTTTTCGTCTAGCTTTAAGGAAAGCTTAAAACAAAAGTAGTAAATTTTCCGAGGACTCAACAACAAAAACCTTCTTAATTTTTTTATGATTTAAACAAGGTAACAAACATACTTATAAGTAACAAAAATATCTTACTTCGTATTCACAAAAAATTATTTATTTTTTAAATTAATTTTCCCTATTTCTTTACAAATGTGAACTAACCTTTATGACACTATATAAGTCAGGAAAGTCGCAAGACAAAGCGAAGAATTCCCGGCCGCAGTAACACACGGCACTGAAACTCGTTCAGACGTTACATTCCTTATTGAACTAAATCATAGTAATACAAATATTACCGTAATATTGAACCGAAAAGTTAACCCTTTACGAAAAAAGATATTAAAAATATTTAGTGATGTGCGTTGAAGAAATACAATTATTTATAGATTTAAAATAATACTAAAGTAAATTTAGTTATACTTTTAAGAAAGTAAGTAAATCTCTATACTTTTTACGAATAACATTAATAATTGGCGTATTATAATTATTTCAATCAACTTTTTTTGCTCCTTTAATTTTTTTTCTAAATAAAATGATGATTATTAATATTACTTAAAACCTCTTTCTATGATGCTTTTATTTATATCCAATTCACGCCTAATCTCCTTATTTTTTTAATTCGTTTTAAAATAAGTAAAAACTCAAAAAGAAAAATCAATTGAATTAAGTTACAATATCTATCTTTACTAATCCAAGCTAGCTTTACTTTTAATATAGTCTTATTTTCAACTAAAATAAATAAATAAATTGATAAAACGGATCCAGTTTGAAAAAAGAAAATTTGAAACAAAATTTAATTCCGATTATCCTTCATGATGGAATCAAACAAGTCGACGTTGTAAATCCAAAAGGGAAAGCAACAATAAATTCCAATCCAATAAATTTCCATACAATAATGCCTTGTCGTAGGAATGAAAGGAGCCGTAACGCTTACAATGACTCCGTGACGTCGCGCTATCAGGAACCGTATTCAATTAATCACTACCCACTGGAATCGTAAGGGAATTAACATCGTCACTAATACTACCGTCTATAGTACAACTACGTAATATATTCCGGTATATTATGTTAGGTGAAAGTACAGTCGCCTGCATAAACATCTATACAGTTATAAAACTTTACAAACTTTTATTATTGTATAAGTCTTCGGTACCAAAAATCCATATGCACCAATTCCCACGTAATTATAGTCGGAAGGATAAGGAGATAACGTGTGTACATATTTTTAAAAACAAAAGCTTATACTAGTTTTTGATTTTTGTATGTATATTTATGCAGCTGACTGTACCAGGATTGTTAGTGATCTCGTACAGTTACCAATCCAGTCCCATGTTATGACTTTAGTAGTTATTAAAATATATAAATTCGTTACACTACATCCAGTAATTGATTATAGTTCACCGTAAATAAGTTGTATAAGCAATATACTGCGCATTTAGAACTGCTAGAACAATTTATAATTCTTTACAGAATTTGAAATCTCAAAGAAGGCCTTTAGTGAAATGAATATGAAGAATGAAATCTTCCTACTTTAGGAGCGAATAAACATCTATTAATGATTGGAGTCGTCTAATATGCCCGCGCTTTGGCAGGCTTCTCAGCGACCTATGTACATCAGAACGGTGTGGATAGACGGATTCCGACACGCAATCCTTACCCACGACGACCCACATTACATCGAACTCAACTCCAAAAGACGCAGACCACATTCATCAGCCAGTTTCAATCCCAAACGCAAAGCCCAAGGATCACGGTTAAGTCACCGTAGTGATTCTAATAGCTTACGTAATCTTGACCTCGTTATCAGAAGTGATAAGATAAGAATCTCACAAGAAACAGATATTGAAAAACTAAATTTCACTGAAATTGACACTGAAGACGAATCCATATTATCCGAATCTCCGACACCAATTTGTGATTTTGATAATTTGAAATCGAAATTCGAATCGATAGACATGAGAGTTGTTAAAAGTAATAGAACAGCAAGAATAGACGTAAGAGAAAATAATGATTTATCCGAACGAGTACTCCAATGGTTAGATTTAGCTGGAAAAGTTGATTTACTGGCGAATGAAAACGCTGAACGTATTTCTCAGCCGAGACACAGCTGGCCAGAAATACAAAAACGAAATTTGGGTAAATCCCATACCGCGACCGATTTGACAAGGAGGGAGTGTAAATTATCGGCAAGCGATTCGAAAACAAGCGATACTATCGATCGAGAAGTTTACATGCCAACATCGGCGACTACGATCGAAAACTACGCGCGACAGTCACGAAATGTAAAGCACACGTCACGGGATTGTCACGCGAAAATTAAAGAAAACAAAAAGGTCAAAGATATACGACAGAATGTAGCTGAAGTGAGACAGAAGATGATAAATGAAAGAAAAGCAATGGAGAAACAGTATGCTGAGTTAGTCAATAAGAAAATTATCCCTGATTTAACTAAAACTAAGAAACAAGTCCATATATTCATGCCAGAGGCGATACCAAATAAAATTGCAAGTAATAGTACAACTGGAAGTTTGCTTTCACATAAATCTTAAAAGCTAAGTAAAATCTATGTTAAACCATTGCATACTGTTAGATAAAGAATAAAGTAATAAAAAACATTACTTATTTTTTATTATTATTATTATTTAAATTTATAATAATTTTTTTACATTTAAATATCATCGACTTAATATTTCCAGCGCCACATTTTAACTAGCATAATACAAATTACTATAAAAAAAAATATTCTTACCCCAAAGCCAACAGTAGCGACATCTCTAGCTTGAAACCGGGAGCGCAGCGGTGGATCCAGTGGCTGACCTTGATAACGCGGCACCGGCAGACCCAGAGCAATCACACGGAAGTTCTCGTCAACACGGACTAGACGCCATCTCGACACTTCCTCTGCACCATGTTCCTGAGTAAACATACATAAAATTAAAAACATTAGAATAAAACAAAAACTTTTTATATTTTTTCAGTGTAAATCAAATTGTCTTGAATAAAAAACACATTAGAGTATCACCTGTAATAACTTATCATATCTTGCAGCTGGTACTAAAAATCTGCCATCTTCTAAATGCATTTCTCTATTTTCCAGTAAATTATTTAATACTGGCAACACATTACGTTCAGCCTTTTCTATTCCTTCTATAACAAGTATTCTTCCTTCTACCGCTGCTCTCACTGCACTCTGAAATTAAGTACAATAAACATCATTATAATCATCATCCTCATCATCATCAAGCTCACTATCCCTCTCCACTGAAGGGCTCCGAGCCTACATAAAGTATATAAGAGGTTTGATAAAATAACATTACATGTTACATCACTGTTTTCCAAAGCTATCCAAGTGGATCCCATAGGGTCTATAGTAGCTGTGGTGCAGATGTGTGATGGCAGGAAATAAAATTGTTAGTTCACAAGTTGTTCAAAAAAAGAAAAAAATTAGAAATGATAAGTCTGTAAGAAAAAATTATTGGGAATTTCTATGTTACATAAATGTCTAATGACATACCTGGTCAAAATACTTGGCAGTAGAGTTTTGAATCTCTCTTCTTTGTTTTAAATCAGCCTCTGTAGTATCTCGAGATAGAGCAACATATTCCAACTCCCTTTGTGTCAACTCTAAGTATTGTAAAGCTACTTTCCGCCTACAAGTTACCATTGTTATGTTATAAAAATATTGACTAATAAGACAAAACAGTGCTATACAACTGTTGAAATACATACATTCATGTACTTGCAATTCCCTAATAAGTATAATGATACCAGGGTTATATTCAGTTCATGATAAATATAGTAAGTTTTATTCCACTCATATAATAAGTTTATACAATATTTTACCCTTAATAAAATTCATCCTCACCTGCTGGGACCTGGCCTGCCGAGCAAAAACATGTCTTGACCGAGAGAATCTTTTTGCATCATCCATCTTAAGTTTCTAAGTGTACTTTGAGATAAATATTTTAATTCTGAACCCTCTACAGATACTGAAAACGGAATTAGTAACTAAATTAAATCAAAAATATTAACTCAGCGTGAAGAATACTACTTTAAACCTTTACATAGTTTCAAAAACTTACTGTATTTCCGAGGCACATATTCAATCTTTTTTGGGGTTGTTAAATCTTTGGTAACATCTCCAATAGTCACTTTACCATCACTAGAGTATGCCCTAACATAATTCACTTGTAAAAACTTTTTGTGCCCTCCTAAAATACGAATAAGAACATCGATACGTCGCACTGTACTAGCGGGGTTATACATGACTAATCTTATGATAATTGGTTTCTAAAATAGAGTAATATTTTCTATATACACATTATTTAGTTACATGAATTATAAATATAATCTTAAGTTAAAAAATGTACAAAACAAACTTTTATAAAAGTTCAAAGTCTAATACATAACTGTCAAAATGACAATGACGTTACTCAGCTGTTCATAAACTTGTAAGGCCGAAGGTACGTTCATAATTTTTTTTTTCTTTTTCATAATTTTCTATCTAATGTTAAAACAATTTGTTAAATCAATTTCAAAGTAGGGTTAACAGAAGTAGAAGAAAAGACAATTTTTCACTATTCAAGTTATTTAATTCTAAAAACTGACCATGATTTCATCACAAATACAAATGGTATATTTCACAAAACATCATAACCAAACCTAAACCAAATCCAAAGATAAGATAATAATTAAATATTCAAGAGCACATTGGAGATACAGGGGTTTTTTGGATTAGCCATGATTTATTTCATTTAATTCAATATAATATTCCAATAGTGAAATGATTATTTGGTGTTCCCTGATTATGATAATAAGAAATGTAAATCTTACAATAAACAATTATTATAGAACAATGCTTACTTCTTTTATATATTTAACTATTTATATATTACTACGGTTTCTTTTATCTACATAATCTATATGAAATTGAGATAAAATTGTTATTAAATTAAAACATTAAATACTATAATATTTTCTATTGATGTTCATTTTCATCGTACGGCTCAATTTTAACGCTAACAAAATCAGTTGGTTCCAATTCTACATCTGTTGTGATCGTTTCTTGTTTAATTATAACATTCTCAATTGTTTTAGTACTTTCTCCTTCATCAGTTTTCACGTCTTTCTTGAGTGTCTGTAAAGATTCTTCATCTGAATCATCATCATCATCATCATCATCAGTTTCTTGCTCCGCTTCATCATCTTTTCTATTCTTTTTATAAAGATTAGCTAAATTCATGTAATCAACTAATAATGAATCGGACATGATTTTCTTTGGTGGCCCAAATATGTTGATCATTGTGTCTTCATCTAAACCTAATTGACATTCTCTTGGGTCGAGTCTTCTGAAGAAATCTTTTATATTTATCTCTGTACCTTTTAATCCGTGACGCCTGCGCAGATGTCTTATCATTGTTCTCTTGATGGCGTAAGATTTTTGACAGCATTTGCACTGGAAATAATGTTTGTAAATGAATACCAAAGTATATTTTGTTGTATAATAATGTTCATTAGTTAACAAGAAATAAACTAAGCTAGAAGAAAATGTATTAAAAGAAGATTTTGGTCTCAGAAACCCACGGTTAGACAATTTCACATAACCTTGTCAACTCTAAAGACATGGTAAAAGAGAGCGCTGTAGAAATAAGAAATCTCGACCAGGGCGTTACTAGCTAAAACCGTTACTTAATTATAGTTTTCATATATTTTGGCAGCTTCTATCTTCAAACAACACAATGTTAGTTGTGTTGGGGCGTAGCGGAATGTGATGGATAGATCTTGGACGAGCATTTGATATTTAAAAAGCGTAATACAGAGTATCGTAATACAGAGTATTGAAATACAGAGTATTGTAATACAGAGTATTGAAATACAGAGTATCGTAATACAGAGTATTGAAACCAGAGTATCGTAATACAGAGTATTGAAAAACAGAGTATCGTAATACAGAGTATTGAAAAACAGAGTTTCGAAAAACAGAGTATTGTAATACAGAGTGACAGAGTATATCTTACGTGGAACATGTTGATGGCGCTATGTGTTAGGACGTGGTGTCGCAGTCCGGCCGCGCTGGTGAGCAGCTTGTGGCAGAGCGGGCAGGCGTGCTGCGCCCCCGCGTGCGTTGTGCGCAGGTGACGCAACATGTACCTCTCGTCCTGGTACTTCTTGTCTATTATACAATAACTTACAGTCAGAGAAATTTATTCACTACCCACTAAGTCAAAAAATAAAGGCATTGGAGAAAAATCCAAAAATAAGAGTCCGTACACATAGACTGCGTTGGAGTAGGATTGACTTTTGATTGCAAATAAAATTGAGCTTTATCCGATTGAATTAATGTTCAATTTTACTTAGCAAGTTATCAATTTTCTTAACAAGAGCATCCATTCATTCCTTTTAAAAGTTAAATATTATATTAATTGAATAAAAGAGATAATTTCTTACCACATAGAGGACATTTGACTAGTTCCTTCTTCGCAACGTGTATCTTCATATGTTCACGTAATGCACAACCGCTTGTAAACAGCTTGGAACATACCGGACAAGTTTCCAAATCTGTAGAGTTCAATTAAATTTAAGAACAGTATTAGTTCATCCCGGAGCCCTAATTTAAGTCCTCTTTCCCTTCCCATCCTTTTTCTTATAAAGAAAGGATGGGGAGTGGTAGTGGACTTTCCGGATGAGGGGATGCATGGGAAGAGATTATTAAAGGTATGCAACGCATATTCAATTGCGTATGTCTATGGGCAACGGTCGCTTTGTTATTTCAGCGATTTCAGATGACCACCGTGCTTGCCTGTTTGCCACCCTTAGATATATAAAACACATTAAAACAATGAATAAAATACAACATAATACTTACTTTCTCCTGTATGTTTTCTTATATGATAAGTAAGTTTGGATTTTTGTACAAATGTCTGACCGCAATAGACACAGGCGAATGATGTTTCCTTGGAATGTGTTCTGTAAATAAATACAATTGGAATAATAAAAATTAATGAGATATTTTTTTTAATTAAATGGAAAAATAATAAATGTAGACGTCCCAATCCCAATAAAAGTAAAGTTAAATACATAATGTTGAATCGACTGTCACTACAGACATAGGGACCAGATGTCAACTGATCGGCCATCTTGAAAAATGCATCGAGTCCCTCCCGACAATCTATATCCCGATATAGATAGAAATATCGTCGACGCGTGCTGTCTAATGAATTGCGTAAGTCGCTTAGCGATTAAAGTCGAGTTTCCTTGTATGTTAAGGGCCTTAGTACCTGACGTGTGAATTACAGGCGCCTTTGTCAGCGAATGTGCGCGGGCAGTGCGGGCAGGCGTAGGGACGCTCGCCCGTGTGCCGGCGCTCGTGTCGCAGCATGTTGGAGCGCTGCACGAACCTCATGGGGCAGTACGAGCACGCGTGACGTGGACCTTCGTGGATCTGCACGTGCTCGCGGAACGAATCCTTCTTCTGTACACAGAGACGTCATTTTTTATATAAAAAGCAAACGAGCAACTTGGATTCGCCGAAATAAGCTACCGCAGGAGGCACAAATGCGCAATTCCAGATGCGTTGCCTTAATCGACGGAGAATGTAAAGATAATATTTATCCTTTCCTTCAAATACCACTCACAAATCAACCCATTTAAGATTAGACGGGAAAGAAAATTTTAATTAAATCTACGACACTAATAAAGAATTTTCAGGCATTCATAGAAAATAAATAATCAGAAATCTTATCTAACTGATTCACGAGGTAAATATTTTTTAACAGTACATTTGGGATTATTCATGAATTTCTTAGTGTCCTTTGTAAGACGGGTTTATAATTTAATTTCAGAACGGAAGAGGTTATGAATTTGTGTTTTCTTTTTTTTCATTCATATAAAGTCATACTCACCATAAAAACTTTAGAGCAGTAATTGCAAGTATAAGTCTGCTTGTTGGGTATATGGTCTTGTCGGTGCATATACAATGAGGATTTGTACTGGAAAGACTTGCCGCAGTCCACACACTCATATGGATGTCGTCCAGGATGACGCAGTAAGTAGTGAAGCTTCCTGCAAAATAGAACATATTGAAAACACTTTGACAGTTGGAAGGTGATCCATTATTGGGAAGTTAACCCTATTTTGTAATCCGTTGAAGTTCCTGACTGGTTATTCCATCTCTATTATTAGTTCGAATCCTCATCAAGAAAAATCAAATAGGCATAAAAAACTATGGTTTATAGCCTGTCCATATATAGAGGCAGCGATGTGTCTGTATGTATAACTCTTTTGAAATATTTTGTCTATATTGTTATAATTAAGAGCTGCCAAGATATCTGAAAACATTAATACCTCTCGTCCATAGTCTGTAGCACGTCTCTGCACAGTTTGCATTTGAATTTGCCAGGACCATGCACCTGCGCCACGTGAGCGCCGCACGCCCGTGCACTTGCAAACTCGCGCCCACACACCGTGCAGTTCACAGCCTTCTCTGCCCGAGCTGACGGGTTATGGATCGTCTGATAATAGCCATAAAACAGAAATATATAGAAAATTCTACCTTTTTTCCATCCTTAACATATATCAACTTGACCTAAGGACCTATCTAAGGTCCGTTCTTAACACATAACCTCAAAAACTACAGGACTAATTTCAAAATCTGCAATCTTTGCCATTACATTTCATATCCCTGAGTAAAATTAATGTTTATTAATATGATTAATGCAAATTGAGTACAATCTCTGCTAGTGTTGTTAAGGTTCATTTAGACATAAGCCAGAATCGTATGAACAGCTAGAACTGTCCTGAGATGACATATCGGTATAGCTCTCTCACGTATTCTCATACGTTCGTCTCACTCTGACGCAACTACCGAGCGTTGTAGATACAATTCCGTGTTATATCTAAATGAATCTTAAAGGTACTCGTTCATAGACCCGAGCCGGACGCACCGCACGCATGGATAAACGGATTTGCTTTGTATTTCGATGCGAGTCGCGTAGATTAACAATTCATTGTTTGTAAAATTATATAAACCAAACTAATATCAGTTGAAGGGCTGTACGGTGCGTCCGAGGCGGGCCAATGGACGCGTACCTTTACAATATGTAAGTGTATTTTACCTTCACATGCAGTTTAAATGATTTCCTATGACTAAGAGGTTTGTATTGGCATGAGTCTAAGGAACAGTAGACTTTCCGAGCCTCTGGATGTTCCTCGGTGAAATGATTTCTCATCTCATCAATGTTGGGTAAGACAATGCAGCATAAACAGCATTTCATTAGGTATGTTGTCATTTTGTTGGCAAAATGTTTCTCCAAATGATGATAAATGAACCACACCTGAAATAAGAAATAATCAACTTTACATCACTTGTGACTAAAGGAAACACCTTTAAGTAGTTTTTTTTATCTTTTTTGGGATTTTTGTCCATATGGGACATGTCAATCCCATTCCTTTATGTACTTATGTATTATATATACATCTATAATAATATCAGAGGATATAAAATATAAACTCACTTTATCACTAAACAATTCTGAACAACCTTCACATTTGTAAAATTGATCCTGATATTTCTCATAATGAACTCTCACTTGGTGCTGTTCACGGTCCGTTTCGTTCCAAAACAGTATCGGACAAAATCTACATTTAAAACCCAAGTGTGGACTGAAGCAATTGTCATATTCCATAACTTCCCAATGCTCATTTAAATGCTTTCTTGTAGCATCTCGGTTATCAAACTCTTTATCACAAAACTGACAGATCCAAAGGTCCTCAAAGTTACCCAGTTCAAGACCAGTGTGAGTCTCTAGCTCACTATGGGTGTCAAATGTGGTTGCACATACTCTACATGAATATAATGGAACTAGTTTGATACAATGCATTTTATTCATATGCATTGTGAATGCTTGAGCATTTTCATACCTCGATTTGCATAATGGACAGTCAACATCCATTATAATATCAGATTTAGCATCTTCGTATTGTATTAAAGAGTTCAAAGGCATTTGGTTACTATTTATATCATTAAGTGTACGGTTAACGTAATCAAAGTAACACTTTTCTAGAACTATGAGTTCTGTAAGAGTTACATCAAAATCTTCATCACCTTTATAATTTTGATGAACATCACCTTCAGTTTTAGTTTCTTTATTATCTATCTGTCTTTGTACATCATCATTACCAATTTCTTCTTTTACTTCAGCTTTGAAATAATTGTAATTCTCGTTGCCTTGTTCATCCAACTGCTTGATAGCATTGAATGACGTTTTATCCAAATCAACATAACCGTAACGTATCTGGCCTTGCAATTGTCCATCAATAAAGTGAGCACTTACATCGGCACCGTTGACAGTGAACGGTGGGTCACTACCGGAGATTAAAGTTGTTAAGCACTTGATGGTAAAATGATGGTAGCCCATATAATGCTTGAAAAATGTAGAACTGAGATTATTTCCTTTTGAACAGAGTAAACATAAAAATTTCGTAGTGCCATCATAATCAAAAACCCAGAGTACTTCTTCGTCTTTACTAAGTACATTAATGACATTGTGTTTTTGGAAAAGATGAGTATTATATTGGTCATTATCAGGTAGACGGAAGTGACATAGACGACAGTGGACGAGTTTGTGAATACTGCTTAGATGATGGCGCAGAGTTGTTTGACAGGGAAAATTTGCAACACACTGAGAGCATGGCCACGGAATATGAAATTTGACATGTGCATGCCATGACTCTCTGTCTGGTACAAAATATCTGGAATAAAAAAAATATATATGTTTATACTAATGGTACTTGGTACTGAAATCATTTATTGATTAAGCTGGCATTTTGGAGTTCTAAAGATATGATGTATGATATTCCAATTAAATTTTATTAATTTTCAATACATATAACACAGCTTTATAACAATAAAGTGGGCACACATCTTAAACACCACATTATGAAGCTACATCTTACCTGCAAATACCACAATAATCTTTTTTATGATTTAACACATAGTGCATGATCATTTTGGATCGATTTATAAACCAATCAGGACATAGTAAACAGCTGTAAGGACCAGCAGGATTCAAATCTTTAAGATAGAGCCAAACATCAGCAGGTCTTTCTATCACTGGAGGTGGCGGTAAAGTCCTTTGTTTTCTTACTTTAACGGCGATTCCCAGTTTCTTTGGCGTTAGTGATTTTCTCTTTCTTTTTTTGGGAACTATGCTGGCATCTTCAATTTGAGGCTCAGCTACAGAGAATTTTTCGGGATGTAATCTTTTCTCTGCAGCTAAAACTGACAAGGGCTCATCATCGGAATCATCGGATACCATTTTGGTGTTCTTGAAACTTTCAGATATGGTAATAAATTGAGATTATAAATAAACTTGGAAAATGTCAATGAACTAATCAACTCAATTTACTTTATTATCACAATCTTCTTTATCTTTTATCATTATTGTTGACTTGTTGACGAACGGTCAATTGTTGACATAAATATACAAAATTGCCAGTTTCGATGTAATTGTTGCCTTAAAAAATGGTTGGATGAAGGTTTAATTTGCGAATTTTATGGTTTTTTGTTGTGTATTTTTATCATTTCCGAATATAATTATAGGTAAAAGTATAGGAATATTTTTTATCTAACTTTTCTAAAGTTGCATTTCAAGGTAATTTTGTATTCTTTCGATAGCTTTTGGCTTTGTCATAACAAGTGTTTATAAGTTTATTTCTAATAAACAGTTAGAGATTTAAAAATATCCTTTTTATAAAATTTACCTTGTTCCGTAATTACAGAATTAATTATTATACAGTGTAGCATGAGATAAAACAATCATAAATCGTCTCGTGGCAGCCATTTTATAGAATCGATGTTGTCTATGGCACGAGCCAAAGAAAGGTGAAGCTAAACAAAAGGGTAGCATGTAGATAGCGTTTATTAAATTATAAATAAATAAAATATACTTAAAAACCGACTTATTAGACGTACTTATGTATTATATATCAGTGAATTTTAAATATGTGATATGTGTGAATGCTACAAGTTATTAGAATGAACCACAATGCATCGTGTAATGGTGGCCATTAGGAGTAATAATTATGTATATTGGCATACTTACTTCTTTACGGACCATAAAAACACATCTAAAACGAGACTGTAACACGTTCGTTCAAAATTGATACTTGACATAATGTAAGCGATCAAATTGTTTGTGATATGTGAATGGAAAAATATTGGCCAGTGTAAATAGCCCATTTCATTACCATGGCCCAAAATCAGGGGGAGGTTCAAGTGGGCACACCGAATCAACCCGTCAAAGACAAAGATATTTATGCTTGTTTGCCCGATATTAGAGTGAACGGTCCGTTAGGACCTGACGAGCCGTGTCCAGGTGGTGAAGAATTACGTTGGTTGCCAGCGCAAGCGACAGATCGAGATCTTGTTATGTACTTACGAGCTGCACGATCAATGGCTGCATTTGCTGGGATGTGTGATGGTGGTTCTCCTGACGATGGCTGTGTAGCTGCTAGTCGTGATGACACCACTATTAATGCACTGGATGTCTTGCATGATTCAGGATATGATCCAGGTAGAGCTCTTCAAGCCTTAGTCAAGTGCCCTGTCCCAAAAGGTATAGAGAAAAAGTGGACAGAGGAAGAGACAAAAAGATTTGTCAAAGGCATCCGCCAGTTTGGTAAGAATTTTTTTAAGATTAAAAAAGACTTACTTCCCCATAAAGATACTGCGGAGTTGGTTGAATTTTATTATCTCTGGAAAAAGACACCTGGTGCTAGTAGTAACAGACCTCACAGAAGACGTAGGCAAGCATCACTTAGACGAGTTCGTAATACAAGGAATTCTAGAGCAGGAACACCTAAAGAACAAACACCAGAAATAACACCTTCTATACCTGATACTAATGGCTCAAGACCTTCCCCTAACCCTAAGGAAACAGGGGAAATGAGTTCTGTAACTGAAGATGAAAATTCTGAAGAAGACAGTGATTCAAGAGAAGCAGGTGATTTAGCTAAAGTTGACAATGGTAGAACTGGTGATAACCCTGATGATTCACCAAGTAGAATGCGCACAAGAAACAAATCTAAAGAACAAACAACACCTAATGGAAGGAAAGGTCAAGATGAAAGTGATACAGATTCAAAGTCTAAGAAACCTAACAAACCTAATGCACAAAGTACAAATAACAATATAACAGAGAAAGTTTTATCATCACCAGTTAGCAAAGATAAAGATAACAAGAAGAAAGTGACAAATGGAAAAGTTGATGTATCTAAGGTTAAGAAAAGATTGCCAGATGACACTAAACCAGAAATTTTGGATGGTGATGTACAAATGAAAAAGAAGAAGGCTAGTGATCCTCCTGAAAGTCCATCAGAAAGTCTGACAAATGATAGTTTTTCTGCTATGGATGAATCTGAAACTGTAGAACCAGAACCTGAAGCCTGTGACTTTAGCTTCAGTAAAACTGAGAAAGAAAATACTGAACAAAATAAAGAAACAGAAGGAGAGAAAGTAACAGAACCCAGTAAACCAGATTTGAGCAATGAGCTTCCAAATAGAGTTGAAAAAGAACCTTTGCCTCCGGTATTTAAAGTTGTACCTGAAAAGGATGAAAGAAATGTATTAGACTTAAAAACTGAATCTAGTTGCACTAAGAATATAGAAAATGTTGAACCCCGACCACTTACAATATTTCCCAAAACTGAGCTTATTATTCCTAAAGTTACTCCAATGTCCACAGAAGTTTTGGAAAAAATAAAGATCAAAGAGGAAATAGATACTGATGAAACACTTAATTTACAAAAAGATGATTTTCAGAAGGACCCATTGTCACACAGTTTTACTGGTCATCCAATAAATCAACAGAACAAGCCTTTGAACTTAGAAAATACCAATTTCTTTGTCAAAGATAGTCATATTTATAATCCTAAACTCAGTCACAGTATCAAGATTGAAGGAGTACCAAACAATATATTCAATCCTGTAAATATATCAAAAGAAAACTCAATAATCCGAAATGCAAAGGACTTTGTTGGTGGAATGCCACCATTTTCATATCCTCCTAATATTAATTATTCCAGTGAACTTAATAAACAACATTCACTTATGAATCCATTGAAGACAGTAATTAAGTTGGAACCAAGAGATGAGACAAATGAAATAAAAAGTCAAAATACACCAGAAATCTTCACTGCTACTATATCAACTGGAAACAAAATGGACTCACCAAGCACACCAAGGCTAGAAAACTTACAGAGAATAAGTCCGTCCCCTACAAATGCCAGGGGTGCACCTTCTCCAGCTCACATTGAACACTCATCTACAACTAGTAATGAACCTGTGTCACCCGCACATTCACAAGATATTAAATCACATGAAACAGAAATTGAAGAGAAACAACCTACAGATTTAAAAACACAGCCAATACAGACAAAACAAGATATTCAAAATACAGGCTTAAGACCACCAATGTTCCCAACACCAGTAAGGCCTGAAAACCTTGGCATTAGATCAACTGAAGCAAATACCCCTGTGTCCATACAGAGTATGCTGCCTCCACCCCACAGCCAGCCATCTATCACCAGTTTAATGCCCCCAGGGCCATTAATATCCGTAGGTAGTGGTTCAAATGTTGGACCATATGGATTCATGCCTTCACCTTTGTATGGTCATCCTGGACATCCCGGGTTAGATAAACCAAACTCCATACCACAAATGTTGCAACAAGTACCTCAAAGTCATAATCTCCAAGGTAATTTGATGCCTCCATCATCTAACCAAAATGATTCATCAATGCCTCAAGATTTAAAAATAAAACAAGAGATACCAGACATGCCAGCAAACCTATCGACTCAAAATGTGTCAGATCCACTACAGTCATTAAAAGAAGTAAAAGTACCAGGATATCCAATAGGTAGTGCTATAGCACAACATTTGAGTTCTGAAAGAGATAGAGAATCAATATCAAGTGTTGAAAACAATAGTAGACCTCCAAGTCAACCTACAAATGAAAATTCAAATATGTCCAGTGCATTCTTGGGACCAAGGATAGAGAGCATTAAAAAAGAACCGGACTTTATGCATCAACCTCATATTACTCCAGTATCCTCCAATCAAGTGAATGTGTCCGAGTCTATGAACACAATACCTCCAGTGAAAAGTCCACATACCCCAACGCCAATAAAAAGTCAACCCTCTCACAGTGTTGGTAGTCATGGGCCACATCCATCTGCAACAACATCACCATTTTCGAGGCATTTAACAAGTCCATCACAGCCCAGACAAATTTCTGCATCCCCAGTTCAACCAAACATACCTGTATCTCATTCTGCACTAAATTTGATGAATCCCTCCCCATTGTCAATACCGTCTACTATACCCGGTCCAGTAATGCATTCTGGGCAACAACATGGACCACATCCATCTCATCCATTTGCTTCTCCGCTACATCATCCCCATCATCCTTTATTACATCCATCTTCAATCTTTCAATTGTCAGCCGCAGCTGCTGCGCATGCTATGCATCCTTATTATACTCATGCCCATCCTGGCTATTCTATGCCTTACCCATATCCATATGGACCACTACCTCAACCCCATCCAATACCACCAATGCATCCCGCTTCAAGTACGCCAGGCAGGCATGACCAAGGAAAGCAATCTACAATTGAATCGACAACAATGCTCAGTGCTCACCATAGCACAAGTTCATCCGTTACAACAAGGTCACTAAGAGAAATTTCTGAGAGTGCAGAAGACCCTAGAAATCCGAATGCGACAACAGAAAGGCATCAATTGCACGAAACTACAATGACGCACCACCATTCGACTAGTCATCATAGCGCAGTACATACGAGTACGGAGAAACAGCCAAATCACGTTGGAGGTGGCACAAACCATACATTGTCTATTTCTCACTCAACATCAAGTAGTTCGTCTCAATCTATTCAACATAAAATAAATACGCAACAAAAAACTAGTTCCCATTCTAGTTCTCCGCATCACTTATCAGCTAGCGTATCTCAAACTACCAGCACTTCAGCCAGTGTTAATGTATCTAATAATCATACCCATCATCACTCACACCATCTTGCCCATCACCCAGAAAGATTATCACCGGCAGATTCAATGCTCCTGCGCCATCATCCAAAAATGTTACCTGGTAATCCAAATCACCTTATGATTCAACCTCCATCAATGGGTCATCCGATGGCGTTGGGATTACCGCCGGGACCGGGTCCGAGTTCAATAGAGAGTTTACGTTTGCACGCCCAAGCTGCAGCTGGCTTACAAGCTTCACATGCAAGATCCGGTTCACCGCATCAAATGCCTCACAGTCATCCTCATTTGCGCGGTCCTCAGAGACCTATGCCTGATGAAAATGTTGAATTGAAACTTGAGACACAGTCGCAGCCCGAAGAGGAAGAAATTCCAAGCCCGGCGCACATTCCTCATGGACCAAGTCCCGAACCAAAAATCGAAGATACAGAATGCCACAGATCACAGTCAGCAATATTCTTAAGACATTGGAACAGAGGCGATTATAATTCGTGTACAAGAACAGACCTTATATTCAAGCCTGTACCAGAATCAAAACTAGCACGAAAACGAGAAGAAAGATTGCGAAAGCAAGCCGAACGAGATAGAGAGGAAAGAGAGAAGATTGCCCAACAAGCACATAGGAAAATAGCCACTCCTGAAAAACCAGAAACAAAACCGCCGTCAAGAGGTGCTATTGAAACTATAACGTCTCCCTATGATAGGTATCCCAGACCGCCAGGGTACCCTGACACCCCTGCTCTTCGACAATTATCGGAATATGCTCGACCACATGCTGGGTTTAGTCCCGGCAATTTACCACGACATTGTATGGACCCAATGCTACAATATCAGCTCAGTTCAATGTATGGCGCCGCCGGTGCTAGGGAACGCCTAGAATTGGAACACCTAGAAAGGGAGAAACGAGATAGAGAAATTAGAGAACTGCGGGAGCGCGAGCTAAACGACAGGTTAAAAGAGGAACTTCTTAAAAATAATGTTGGTCCCCGAGGTCTCGATCCGCACTGGTTGGAAATGCACAGAAGATATGGTATGCCTCCACCTCCTCCCCAAGGTGCGATACCCGTACAATTCGGGCTTTATCCCCCTGGACACGGACCGGCGTCGCTCTCTCATCTAGAGCGGGAGCGGCTAGAACGTCTGGGCATCCCGCCAGGCGGAGCCGGCGGCCCGCCGCCCTCTGTGCCCGTGACGGGTGCGCCACCGCATCACCCGCACCATCCGCACCCCGGCGTCGCAGCCGCGCAACTGGAGGCGGCGGAGAGGCTAGCCCTGGCCGCGGATCCAATGGTGCGACTGCAAATGGCTGGAATCAACCCTGAATACCACGCGCACACACATGCGCACACACACGCGCACTCACATACTCACCTCCATCTCCATCCTGGCCAACAGGCGGCTGCACAGGCACAGCAGGATGCTCTGAGCCTGGGGCTGGGTGCGGGGGCGCCGTACCGCCCGCTGCCCCACCCGGACCTGCTGGGGCGGCCGTACGCGGAGCAGCTGGCGCAGCAGGCGGCGGCGCACGAGCAGCTACAGCGGCAGCTGTTGCTGGAGCGCGAGCGGGGCTTCCTGCATCCCGCGCACCACGAGGACTTCTTGCGGCAGCAGCGCGAGCGTGAGCTCAAGGTGCGCGCGCTAGAGGAGGCGGCGCGCGCTTCGCGCCCATAGTGCGCCGCCCCGCGCCCCGACCCGCACGCCTCCGACGACATTGTGCTAGTGGAGTGACGGTAAGGACACGCGTCAAGTGACAGTGATCAAAATCAGTTACAGAAGCATTTGTAATATATCTGAAAGTGTTCACGATCTAGTGTTACGGACATCGATAATAGAACAGAGGTTTTTTTTTGTGTGTGACCACTACCTGTAATTTATATTTATAACTTATTTAAGTTTTATAATATTTTTATAGCTGCATGGTATGTAGTATGCTTATTTTCCATGCTCAAATTTTATTTCTTAACTCCTAGTCATAATAAAAGATTATTTGTGTGTAGTGAAAAAAATCAGTCACACAGTTTACATCAATAATTTAGTCTAAATTATTGTTTGTATTTACATATATCAGAATAAGGGTGCTGGTATTTTTTATGTTTCATATTTCAACAATTTAGTTAATATCTACTTGCATTGATTCATGACATTTATTAGTATCTCAGGCTGGCAAAACAGATGACCTCATAATTAGTCATCATATTTCTTTGTTACAAATTAGTAAATTCATTGTTAAACCTAGATTTGTGAAATAATAAATGAATATTTACCAAAAGGTTGGATTCTGATGTACAAACAATACCTTTATCTCTAAATTAACTTGGTGGATTTGTACAATATATTTTGGATATAACTAAATATCTTCAAGTTACCAGAGTGATTGTATTAATTAGCCTGAGATTAGAATTAACGTTAACCCAGTGTGAAACTTGCCTTACTCAACACCTTGCCTTCTTATCTATTTGGCCAATTCTGAGATTACTTATTGTATGTATAAAACTTTACCTGCAATTTCTACTTAAATATTTATCTTTTAAATATGTCATTATGTTAAAAATATATTTGATTAATAATATAATTTTGATAATCAAATGTTGTAATTTGACTTTAAAAAGCAATACTTCAAGTCTTTGTGTCTTAACTGTTATGCTCAGTTTACATTATGCCAGTACAGTAAAACAGTAATGCTGGCCTGGCTCTGTATGGGCTCGATGGTGCCAATTAGTGTTTACATTATGCTAATTGTAAACCGGTGTTGACTTTGAGCGCTACTGTCTTACTGTACTGGCATAATATAAACCAGGCATTATCTTAAATGATAGTGATGACTTGTAATAATTATTATTTGTTAATGATGTTTGTAACATAGCTTATAAAACATAAAATTTTGCTATATGTAATTTTTAATTGACTAAACATAATAGCAGTGTTATTATTTTTAATATGTCTTTGTTTTAATAAAGTTTAGCAGAGATTAGCTGTCTTGCTATGATTTCTTATGAAGATAAAGTAATAATTATTTTAACAGCAATAATTATATCACATAGTAACTTAACAGATACATGGTTGTTATAAAATATTTGTATGTGTATTATATTAAGAGTACTATGTTTGTAGTACAAAACTTTATTACAAATTTTTATCTGTCTGTAATTCATAAGTGTTGCCAACATAATGCTAAGAAATATATTGAAAAAAAAAATAGAATATCAATTAATTTAAAGTGAAATAAAGAAACATTTACATTTTTTGTTTTATAGATCCAAAGAAATTGTAGAATGCATTTTAATTAACTGTCAGATTATGTGAATGTTGGCAACCCTTATGATTAAACTTATGTCAGACACAAAAAGGCGCGGGAAATGATATGACGAAGTTGTTTTTATCTGCGAATAAGTTCAAGGTATACCGTGATACCTTGTAAATTTTAAAATCTTGTAATTTTCACAAAATGTACACTTACAATTCAAATTATTGTATTGCACTGTAACTTGTATTATAGTTTCACTCGTAACAAATAGAAACCTGTTAGATTTGAAAAGATAATATAGAATATTTTAGATGATAAATATATTTCACGATGTCGCTTCGTAGGTGTTACGTTGATAATGCCATAACTTTCCCATACGAGAAGAGAAATGAGTATTATTTTTAGAGACAAATTATATCTTTTAATTAAGAGGTTGAGTGTCGATTTAAAACTTCATTTATTTAGACAATAAGGTTAAATGGATGTCTTAGTGCTTTTGTGTAAATTTTTTTCAATAATATATGTGAAAAACTCTTTTGACTTTTAGTTACACCTAACCTAAAAACCACGGATCATAAAAATAATGTAACACCGATTGACTAATTACGACTATAATTATAAAAAGTAATTGGCGAAAACATAATCCCTAGTGTAATGGTTCCAAATTTGCCTTTTGTGCGAAAGAATTCTGTTTACAATTTGCCGAGATTCCACCGCCAAAACGCTTGTATGTAAACATCAGTCGTCTCTTTCTCTATGACAAAACAGAGACAAAAATATGTTTTTATACTAGTGTTTTAGCACTGGAAACAGCTATAAATTTCGAATTTATTTATCATAACTACAGTTTGAAAGAAGTGAATTTTATGCTACTAAAAATTTGATAGGATAACTCACGGAGTTCTAGACAAATGAACATTTACTTTCTGATCCATGTGTCTGTTTCGTAGTGTTTGATCAATAGACATGCTTTGGTAGTTATGGGTAAAAGGTCGAAATAAAATTAATGATAGAAAAATGAGATTAACAAGCAACACAGGTTTATTATCAAGCGCTCCTCAAAAATTGGCTCTAGTAAAAACAAAGGTAAGTGCAATAAATAATACTAATTGACAAAAAAAAACTAAAATATCTCGCATGATCACATCAGTAAAGTTTTCCATATATTGGCGTACGCTTGAAGAAGGCATCTACAGTTTCAAATTTCAGGAATATAGAAGAAAATTAATCGTTATGATAAATATATTTTTCTCGTGACCACACAAATTACCATTGAGTTCAATTGGGTTCATTATAAATTGACAAGATACTGACGAACGTCACACACGTGATCTGATTATCTTTAGTGACGTACGACTCCTCAGATCACTGATATCGATTTCTTTATAATAACCATACATAGATCGTAAATTTAGTACTTAACATCTAATTAATATAACCAATGCCTTTAATTATTTCTTTATTAACTTATCAAGGATTTACATAGTTATTAATGCTGTTGAAAAGTTAATTATTAACTTAAGCAATTGATTTATTTGTTAGAAGAGTTCCGTACACCTGTGAGCAAATTTATTTACACACTTCTTAACAATATTAAATATAGCCTATGTAACTCAGAGATACTATAGTATTTTAAGGTTGAAATAATTTTTGAAATCAGTCCAGTTCGAGTTTATTCATTACAAACATATAAATCTTTCTTGACTAAAAACCTCGTTAGTCTCGTTGTTTAAAAATATTATTATATCGTTTCAGAGTATGATAGAGCTTCGCTGTGAGGCGACCCCCGCGCCGTTCATCCTGCGCCCCTACGCCGGCCTATACAACCCCTTTCCACACGGCTGCTCTGTACTCTGCAACCATCCCGCCGAACCTGAAGCCAAGGAGTATGTTCGAAGAGCTAAAGACGCATGGGTATAACGAAAATGTTATCTGGATAGTTGATAAGTAATCTAGTAGGGAGTTGGTTGTTCATCATCTCCTTGCCCGTTTCCCTACGGAGGATACGGCACAGTATGGCATACTACTACTCTTTCATAAGTATCAATCATCCAATTGATACATCTTCGGTCTTTGTAGGATGTTCATCATTAAGAGTTTTATACTTTTTATTGTTTGTGAACTTTGTTTTCAGGCTTTCGAGGGTAAAATTCATCATTTCCAAGAGGATTTAAGTAAGATTCAAGATCAATATGACAAGGAGAAGAACAGAACGCCTCATGATATCGTCACTGAGGATATGTTTAGAAGGTAATAATATCTGCAAGTCGGAATTCAAACATTAACTGTTTGTGTAATCACACCTATATGACTATTCAAGTCCATATTCTGTTATGCGGAGGACTTTGTTACCGTGGGGTGTCACTGCCTAAAGCGCCGCAGATAATATTTTGTTTTTATACAAATGTTTCACCAATGGAAACTTACGATCATTTGAACTAACCCATGTTGTTGCAGCATTGCTTTAATCTTAATAAGGACACAAGTCCGAAATTATTAAGTTTAAAAGTAAAAAAATCCTAGAATAGAGAATTCTTACTCAATTATCTATATTCAAATTTATAATTAAACTTCCTGTATGATCACTATCTTTTAAAATAAATTCTTTCAATAGCGCATTTATTACGATTTAATGCACACAGACAAAATATCAATTTGGAAAATCTCATCCGAAAAAGGTTTTTAGCAATCAACATGTTATCTCTTGCGATCTTTGTTGCATTTTAAATTTTTAACACATTAAAATAACATTTAAATAGAAATAATTTTTATTTCGTGGAAATATACAAAGAATATTTGGTTACCGTGTTTGAATAAATTTTATTTATTTGTAACTGATCTGTTCGTTACTAAATCTTGGCTAATATCCAACATTTTGATTGTAAAAGCTGATGTTTAAATAGATAATACACACATCAATCTTAAACAATCTGTTCCGTTTACCTTTTTGATCTTAGTTCGTAAGCTATTAGTCTAGAGTGCTTTGCATTTTGTTGTTGAGAGGATAACAAATGAACAATATAAACATATAAACTAGTCGGTGCCGCCGCCATACGAATGTGATGTGAGTGTTTAGCCATTTTTATATAAGTTTAATGAACAATATATTCATAAATTAACATAATTTCAAATGCAATTAAATGTAATTTGTCAAATTTTTCCATACAAAAATAACCTTTGCAATAAAATCTAAGCGAATCGTATTTACTAATGCCGCTCAGTTTAATATGGTTTAAATGCATAATGAATTTACATCATTCATGCAAGGCAAATAAATTTTGACTGCGATTGTAATTTATATCACTAAAATGAAACGATTAAATAGATAAGATATAAAGATTAATGCATACCAAAAATAAATCTTTAAATCCACACCAAAGCGTGGCAAGTAATAAAAAGATTGTTAAAACAAATTCAACACATACTCGGATAGTTAATTTTGATAATATATTTATAGTTAGCATCAGATTAACCATCGCTAAGATATTTTTATATGTTTCATCGTATTCGTTGAACACCAAGAAACATCGATATAAAACAAAATGTCATCACAATCTTTTTTTAGACACAATGAGAGATGAGAATGATGACCAAAGGTTAGATATTCTGACCCGAGTGTTATCTTATGTGTTCGTAACGACGGTTTTAACCTTACTAGCCCTGGGTGAGATTTCCACAGTGCTAATTACGAGATTAACAAGGTTATGTGAGACTGTGTAATTCAGAGACCTGTGGTCCCTTTTTGTCCAGCACCTATCCTATCGCCATGCGCTGGGTGTTAGCTCTAATTTAGCCAGTCCTTCAATAGTAAGTGGTTTCTAAATTCTGTAACAATATAGGTTTCTGGTACATAGTGGTATTTACAAGCCAGATACGTGTGTAATAACTGAACAACCATATACAGTGCCATTCAAACTTTCTAGTGCTGCATAATTTCACAAGAGACGCTAAGCACAACACTATTATAGGTATCCGATGTACGTAAATCCTTACGCCGCAATAGGCTTAATTATCTCGCGTCCAAATGTATCGCCATAAACAGAGTCATGTAACAAAACCAAGTTCTTTCGTTCTCACTTAGATATACGGAGACTGATTCGAGGCCGCTCACTCCAGCGCCTACTCTCGCCAGTGGCAAGTCTAGAGGATCAAGAAGATGTTTGACTCCGGATCAACCACGACAGAGAACAACTATTGTACTAGATTTAAGAAGAAGTCATAGTCAGGTATGGAGATAACTTATACAGCAAGTTTATTGGGTAACAAAAGGGAAACTAGTATCTATTATTTATCAATTCTGAGTCCTTAAGAGATTTTAGTTGGTACTACTTGAATATTTATATTAAAGATACTCTAAATCTATATCGATAATTTTTAAATTGCTTATATTTCCGTGAATATACCAGTAAACAGATTGTAGATAAAATAAGCCTTTATAAATTAATCAATGTAATAATTAAAAAAAGCAATATCATGATACACCTAATCATAGTATCGATAAAAAATTCACCTCACTAGCGCGACTGATTATTATCAGATGATCAAAATAAAAATAAAATTGGTTACATCTAACTTTTTAATTCTCTGATTTTACAATATTAATCGTGAGGATATAATTTAAGATTAGTTATTTTATGCTGCAACATTAAAATAACGCATTATGTATGTAGGTTAATAGTCTCAAGATAAGAGAAATTGTTTACAATTCCGCAGGCGGGATAACGCACGTTTAATAAACTAGACATTATTTATTTACACTATCGTGTGACTGTAACGTTATAAGATTTTATTGCATTAATAAAGAGGTGTTCATAATAAAAACCCACTCATTTCCCTATTTCACAAGGACAGATAAATAGCTTGATCTACAAGACAAGATTAAATGCACCTGGAATGTATTTACGTCTTTACTTTTTGACCCTTTCATTTACGCTATCAACATACACAATGTTCAGTTTAGTCGAAAATTACGAATGTTGAATGGATGCTTGTTAGAAGGTATCTCTAGAACCGCTTAACGGATCTAATTGAAATTTGTCATCGATGTACAACACAGTCTGGACCAACACATAGGTTACTAATTAATATTTTATGAAGTCCGCGTGGACAGATTCGCTGGTGACAGTTAGTCGTATTATAAGTTTATCTACCTATGCTATATCAACCCTCGTTGACAACGCGTGGACACAACGTGATTGCCGCAGCGCAGCCGCATAACTAACTAGGGGTATCCTTTACGAATTTTCTCTAGGAAACATTATACTACCATGGATATGGTACATCAGAGCTGACAGCAGGACACAGCGCGGCGGAGCGGTCTACTCTTCCCTCGAATATGTCTGACAGCGGCCACGGTCGTTTGTTGACTGGCCACTGTGAACAACTACCACCGTTAGCTTCACCATTGGTGCTGGCGAAGAGGAATATACCAGTCAAAGATCTCCTGAGCGAGCGAACTGCTAGAAAGGTAATAATTTATTTTAGTAAATAAGCAAAAAAGGTTAATGAACTCTAATATCTCACTAGAGAAAGGGACATTGAAGTCTTTATTCTGATATATGTCCCAATTTAGAATCGAATCAGAACACAAACAGTGGAAACCCGGCACTTTAATCATAAAGCTACAGGCGATTGTAATCTATTGAAAGCTACACTATCAGTTTTGTACAGAAGTTGATAACAAAGCCCTCACGACGTATAACAAACGATTACACCTCTGATAAAAAATAATCAATAATTTATTTTGACGCAAAACATTCCCGACTTCTATTGAAAATATACAAAAAACGGTGGCACTTTTTATAAATTCCTTAATATTACGTCAGCTAAAAAACAATGTTACCGCGTGTAACATCAAAAACAAAAGTATTACAAAACAAAAGAATATCCGAAGAGAAGAAAACAGATAAGTCTTCTAGAAATATTTTAAAACTAAAAGGGAAACATAAAAAAGAATTACCAGTGTTATGCACATCTCTGTGCGACTGTACCTCATTGCATTTGTCTAGAATAGTCATCGGTTATAGGCCAAAGAAGCGTCAACGAATCATTTCTAATCGTGTCTCTTGGGATATAGAAGCCAACGAAAGGATAAAGTTTCCTAACGTACAAGTGAAAAGAAAAGTTACAAAAAAAGGAAAATCTGTGGCATTTGAGAGTGATGAATTCTTTCATAATTTGGAGGTAAAATAATATACAATGAAAAGTGTTTTTGAGTGAGGCAAAAGGACTTCTTCGATCATTTATATGTAAAGAATTTTCTATGTATTTAATTATCTTTCTCTAACTACAGAATCACCTGAAAGCTCTGAACTTAGGAAAGACTACGAAAAGTAAGACTAAAGTAGAAACTCCCGCGTCTGAAAGATCTAAGGGTGACAAGGATAGCAATGACTCTAATGAAGCTGGCAACACTGAAGACACTGGTAAGAAACGTTTTTTTCAATAGTTTTTTAATATCATTTTGGTGGACTATGTAGTGTCTGAAGGTCCTGGTGTCGTATCAGTTGAGGTCCGCCGTCGCGGTAAGAGACGGCGCAAGGCGCGTGGCGCGGGTAGTGACCGTCTCGCCTCCGCCGGCCTCGCTGCTCAGGCACAGCAAGATCCTGAAACACAGGTAAATTCATAACGCATTTAGTTATTCTAAACAAACTATTGTCAAGTATAAGTGACACAAAACTACGACTTGACTTGAGGGATACAAGTCGACGTAGCGATACTACGCTTTAATAAGTTGCGATTGCGACCTACCAACATTACAATTCATTAGTGGGTCTTCAAATATTCCATATTGTTTTAATTTTGATTATATTTTTTTTTAGATAGCAGGTATAGGCACTGACTCCCATAATGCCAGTTCGCGCGGCTCTATAGCGACCGCAGAGGACGTGCCTTTGCCTCTCGTGGTCAAGCCCACGCCAACATCCACCACCGACTCCTTCTTAGACGATGACATCCTCAAGTACTTGCATAGAGAAGTTGATGAAGAAGCTATCGAAACCGAGTTCGATACTAAGGTAATGTAAGGTAGATTTTACGATTTGGATAAAGTAATTTTTCACAGAGGTCATAGAGTTTGTTCATAAAACCTATCTGCTTCGATTATCAATAACAACTACATTTCTTCAATATTAAAAAAGTGTACTTTGTGAGTAGCGTCGTTACGTGCTAAAAGAGGCACTACGGACGCGTGGGTCGCGGCCTGCGGGAGCAGAGCTGCAGAGCGTTGCCCGCGCGATGCCTGCGAGCTGCAGCCTGGCTGACTGGCTGCACGTGCCGCGAGTTTTCTCCCGCACCAACGCCACATTCGCCCTGCCCATAGACTACACCGCACTAGAGAGTATGACCTTTTTGGAATCTAAAAATTGCTGAGATGGACGTTTACTTATTCCACTCTATTCATCGTTTTAGTTAAGAGCCACAACGTATTATTTCCATATTTACTTTGACAGCACTTTCCCCTATGTCGTACGCGGCAAGGTTTGTGACGATCAAAAAGTCGAAGCAGCTGCTCTACCTTACAGTCCTCAGGAAGTTCAGGCCGAATGGTTACATGATGCCAATAAAGGTATAGATTATAGAATAATGCTTTCGTTTCTATTTACAAGTGGCACAAGCTTCTCTATGGACAGTGCAACAGCAGAAGCTACAGTGTTATTTGATAATGATTTTATTTTGTAGAACATTGAAGAAGGTCTTATTCTAATGATGGGCGGAATCATGAATATAGAACAGGCAGACCAGTATAAAAGCATTATGGAATGGGACTCGTATGAGGAAGAGAACAACTTCCCAGATGAAATTAAACTGAATCTATTGGACGAGAAATACAAAGAACAATTTGCTTCAGAAGCCGCTGACTTAGAGGTTGGTGATGAAGTTTTTCTATGATAAAGTTATGGTTAGTAGTGTAATTTAATTAATTTATTTTTGAAGGACTACTCCAATACATTAAAATATCGCACGTGGTGCGGTTTATGTGCCATATGTGAACGTATGTACGGAAGATATCCACCGAGGGAGAAGGATCCGCCCGATGGAGTAAATATATCAAAACTGTTTTACTAAGTACACAACATTTTTTTTAAATTCAAGTTTTCACATGACTACAGCGATATCTTAACCTCTAACTTAATTAATTTTACTAAATATTTTTTTGGCGTAAAATGAATTAAAATAATAAAATTATAATTAGTATTTTAGTAGTAGCTATTGCAGTTAAATATCTCGTTACAAAAATTTAAAATTAAAAAGACGAGTTTATTTTGACAGCTGTCAGCATAATTCATTTAAGGGCTGTGGCCATGTGACTACAATATTCAGAATTTAATTAGGAACCCGATTCTTAAAAAAATCGATTCTATATTATATGATAATGTAAATGATATTTTTGGAGTAAAATAGTAGTAACACTTGTGTTTCAGATAGAATTGAGCGACTTTACAATGATAGAAACAAAACTGGCTACATTGAAAGTACACAGTGGTCTAATGGAAGTATTAAATGCTATAAGAATACGTTAATGTTTTACAAAAGTGATTAAAATTATTTATAAAGAAACTCGTTGTTTATGGTACAAACACCCCTTACGTTCTATAAATTGTATAATAAATCTCACCTGCTTAAAGAGTAAAAATATGAGATAATTTTAAATTTAAATCTTTCAATAGTAATTTGCAAAAATGAACAATTATTGCTTCTGCCGTTTTTAGTTTTTTTTAAATAAAAGTATAGCATTTTTAATTACTTTTTTTGTCAAAGATGAAAGCCTACATTTTTCAATTTAAATCGAGTGAGAATCGATCGACTGCTCGATAGATATGATTGCTTGTTTGATGTGCTGCACGTCACTACTAGAGTTGAAGTTGAACCGTTTTTATTACAAAACTATTTTCGTATTTCCCTGTAGCGTAACGAATTTATTTAGGTTAATGAAAATAAACAATCGCGCCAGTAAACGTGCACGCGGTATTTAATTAGATGAACATACATTTCTATTGACTTAATATCAATTTAATAAAATTGGAAACAAAAATGAATTTAAATGAGGACCCAAACACAGACGGTACGTAAATATGTGATTAACTGTTTAAATTAAAACATCGCGTTGGTAACTTTGATTAACAGAGTTTATTTTCGGGTTTGTAGATTATTTTGTCACAGCCGTTCACATTTTCAAATACTGTGGTGCTGAAAGCACCGATACTTTACGAGTTGATGCGCTAATGGACAAGTTTGCGCCTTTTATCAAAACAAACAAGTAAGTCAACATATTATATCCATTTTTTATTTGTTTGACTTTAAAATACTATCTTTTTATTTACGTCTAAACCTCCTCAACACTCTATAAAAAGAGTACTGCAAATTTTGCATCTATATAAAGAAGAAAATGATGATATTGCACAATTAATCCTAACTAAATTCATCTCATTTCCAGGGCTGAATATAGTTATTTAAAATCACTGCTGGATCCAGAAGAAAATAACCCTGAAGTTTCAGTTTTAACATTAGCAACAGTTTTAAACAAATACAGTGAAAATCAGAAGATAAAGGCTGATTTAGATGAGAGGTAAACATAACAATGTTATTAATACTGTATAGTAAACATTTTATATCTTTCCTCCATAAGCAAGAAACTCAGGTGAGTGAAAGACCTCTAAAAGCGAGAAAAAATATCAGTCCCTTGCCTCTTGTATGTCAAAATTCATCTACAATTGAAATTCTATGACTGGTGCTACAAAGTTAGGCATATATTGAAATTTAAAGCTATTACAAATTAATCAATTTTATTTTCTACATTCTCAAATGGATAAAACTTTAGTGCTTGTTTGTCTGTAATGAAATAAGGTCTTTATCATTGTGTTTACATTTTGTTTATACTTCTGCAGTTTCAATTTGAAGAATGGACAAGGGCCGCATGACTCGGATTCCGGTATTTCAACAGAAGGTAAAGTTCGACAAATTCTTTCCTAAAAACATCAGTTTTTGTACAAATTTTTAAGTAGAGAAAATATAAAAGCTGGACCTAGATACTTCAGTCTGATTCATATTTGTCACATGATATGCTTATCAAAGTAAACAAAGTTAGACTAAAAATATAACACAGTTTTCACTTATGTCATAATAATTTAAAGAAACATTGTCCAGTTTACAGTCTGCGATTCCAAATGGAATTAAAAAAAATGTCTCTTTTTTATATCATAAGGTGGCAAACGAGCGAGCGGCCACCTGAAATCGCTGAAATAGCGAAGTGACCGTTGCCCATAGACATACGCAATTGCATATGCGTTGCCTAAATTTAATCGACGTAGAAGAGGATGCACACAAAGAAAATATATTCCGTTTCGATGCATCCTCTCATATGGAAAGTCCACTTCCACTTCCCATCCCTTCCTTATAAGAAAAAGGGTGGGAAGGGAAAGAGGACTGAATAAGGCCTCCGGGACGCACACTCATCAGACGAAACGCGGAATTGCTTCCACTTCACGCCTGTCTTCTGTGGGGTCATGGTATTTCACCGGGCGAACGGGGCCAATTCGTCCGAAGATGTTAGAGCGGGCTCTACCACTGTTTAAAGTTAAAGACTATGTTCTACATCTATGCCAAATTACAGCGAGATCCCTTTAGCAATTCTGGAGACAACTTCTAACAAACAAACATCCATCAATCTAAACTTTTGGTCAATATTTGCCAAATTCATTAACATAAAAAGTGGTATCCAGGTTTCCAATTGCTGGAGGAGCTGCAGTGTGAGCTGAAGGAGAAGGCGCACCTGGCGCAGCAGTTGCGCAGTCAGCTCGACTTCACCGACAGACAGCATGAGGAGCAGCTGGCCACTGTCACTGCGGAGCGGGATTCATTAATCACACATCTTAATTTGTAAGTCTACTGAGGTAGCACTGTGTTCATAAAAGTTATATATGGTTATCTCTCTCTCCTTTCAGTTACATAAGAGAGAGATGGAAGACTATAAACACTTTTACTTTGAGATAAACAATTACTTTGATATTAATATATTTGTTTGTGTTCTACAAACCAAATGGACATTTTGGTTCTCTTAAAAATAAGTTGCATTCAGGTGTAGGCAATAGAAGCTCAGTTACATTACTAAATCAAGATTTCTTCAACCATGGCTTTCTGAGACCAAAATCTTTGTATAAAACATATCATATGCAGTCGTCACATCCCTGTCATCTTTGACAAAACAAACATAATATATTTCAAATGGAGTTTTTAGCCTTAGAAACCCAAGACAGTGTATAATTTTAAGGTTAGCTGTCTGCCATTTGTTGTTACAAATATATAATTTATATTTTTTAATAGAGAATGGGAGTGACATTTGTGATTAGCAAATCAATTTCATCAATTCCACTCAGGTTACGTGAAGAGAACATAGCTCTGAGCCACGTGAAGCGTGACTACGAGGAGGTGTGTGACCGGCTGTGCTGCAGCGAGCGCGCGCTGGAAGAGGCCACGCGTGACCTTGATGTCACCAGGAAACGCGCCAGGGTGCTCGTGGATCAGCTCGCCTCACTAGAGTCCGAGGTAAGATACACTTGAAATTAATCCTGGTCTTAGTTAAACCACTTTTCCACTAAGCGACTGATATTTGCTATAGGTCTGCTATTAGCTTCAAAGTTCCTTGTCTTAAAGATAAAAACTAGAAATTTGATATTTTTTAAGAAGTGAAGTTTATTGTAGCATCTTTAAAAGGCTTTCTTTAGTGTCCAGGATGCTAAAAATGATTGTCTTAAGACCAGAATCTGCAGAGCAAAGGAGGTCCATGTGACTACATGTCTCTTGACGATTTATATATTCATGAAACTAAGTAATTATGACATAATTGAAATTATCATTTGAACTGAATTAGTTAACGTGGCAAAAATATATAATTTACTAACAAAATGAACGAATTTTATTTATTATTTTAAGAGTCAGAGAACGACAGTTAACTGTAAACAATGATTTCTACTGTTTTCTGTAGTAGCATTTCTCTTGAAAGTTGAAGTTGGTTGTCCAGAAAGTAGTCCTCCAAGAGCTGCTGCAGAAGTCGAAGGAGGAGTGCCACCGCATCAACGAGATGTACGCGAGCCGGCAGAGCGCTCTGCTGGAGGAGTGCGAGACACTGCGCGGTCAGCACGCGGACCTCGCCGCCAGGCTGCACGACCACGACCACTACATGCAGCAGCTCATCAAGGAGAAGGTACAGTCGGTTTATAAAAGCGGTGTTAAACTTACAGACCACGAGTAAAACTTAACTAGCGACTATTTCCGCGAAGATTTTAAAAAAAACGTAGTAGCCTATGTTTTCTTCCAGACCTTCAAACAAACCTCCATCCATCTTTAAACATTCGAATGACAGGCAAAATAAATCTTTAAAAAAATGGCGAATACCAAATGGGCACAAATTACTATGTGTTATAGCCAGTCTATTTATAGAGGTCAGATGTTCTATGACTTTTTAATTTTACAGGTGCTACTTGAGATGGAGTTAAAGGATGTGTTCAACAAATCTAACGCGACACAGCTTCGTATGGACCGGTCTATTGACGTCAGCTATACTGATGACCAGATGCTCACAGCACTCGACAGTCTTAACCTCGAATCGCAATTCTCACAAGGTAATTAGAAAATTCATTATTCTCTAACTTGTTTCTACTGTTCCTTAAGACGATAAAAAACTCAATAAAAATATAAAAAAAGTTTTATTGGCTTTCAAAATTAGTGAAAAACTTTTTGTACTCTTGAGTTATAACCTTTTTTGAATTTTTTGTTTTTTTTTCTAATTAAAGCTGGGTTTTTGCTTTGTCATCTCATGTATCAGATGCCAAATCTTGTCATTTATTCGCTACACGCTTTCTGTTTTAACTGTTTAATATAAAATAATATTGTAATAAAAATCTACACTTTTAATATTGTTGCATAAGAGTGAAAAGGATAGACATATCACTATGTACAATTTAACAGTGGTAGAGCCCGCTTTAAGATCTTCGCACGAATTGTCCCGGCTCGCCCGGTGAAATACCACGACCACACAGAAGACACGCGTCAAGTGGAAGCAATTCCGCGTGCAGTCTGATGAGTGTGCGTCCCGGTGGCCTAATTTAGTCCTCTTTCCCTTCCCACCCTTTTTCTTAAAAGGAAGAGATGGGAAGTGGAAGTGGACTTTCCGGATGAGAGGATGCTTGGGAAGGGAAAATATTTTCTTTCTGCGCATCCTCTCCTCCGTCGATAAAAGGTAGGCAATGCATATGCAATTGCGTATGTCTATCGGCAACGGTCACTTCGCTATTTCAGTGATTTCATGTGGCCTCTCGCTCGTTTGCTATCTTATGATATAAAAAAAATGCTTATTTGTCCTTTTCACTCTATTAGAACAATATCTGAAAGAAACCTTTAAAGTATACAATATTATTTTTTCTAAATAACATTTCTGCGTATAACATCTGCTTTATTTGCTTCTAACTTCTTTAGAAAACCATCTGTTAGACGAAGAGTCGTTTACAAACGCATTAAAAGAAGATCAAGGAAGAGTAACCAATATGTCGTTATTCGATGAAATAAGATTAAGCTTCTGTAATATGTCTAGACGTAACACAATAAATTGTTCTGGAAACTTCGATATCAGTATCAAACTACAAAACGTCACAACACAAACAGAGGATATTGAACCTTGTGCTGATACGAATAAAGTGCAAAATGTAATACATGTTGAAACACAAACTGATTCGTCATCGGAAATAGAAAATGAACCTTATAGTAATAATAATATAGTCCAAACTTGTTACGACTGCACGAAATGTATCGAATGCGAAAAACTCAGAGATTATGCGACTAAATTGGAAAGTGATAATAAAAAAATGAATTTCATTGTATCTGATATGCAATCGAATTTAGATAGGTATGATGAATATCTGAATAATCTACAGAAATTAGAAGAAGAAGAGAATAAAGCTAATATAATTTCTCAAGCTTATATTGATGGTTTAGAAAGTAATATAAATACGATAGCATCGAAATGTTCAATAGAATTGGACACGTCTGATAAATTGTACACGCACAGACAGACAGAACCTGGTAAAATTAATATATATTTATATATGTAGATAGTTTTTTTTAATATAGTTTGCATGTGTAATATACCATTTTTAGTGTATTTTCATAGTTTGTAGTTTTAAAAATTGGTGTTGGTATTTTACAGTAGTATTGTGATTGACCTCTCTTTTATTTTTAAACAGTTCTGTTTACGTAAGTATGTAGGTAATTTAATATTAAGATTATAAAAAAAACTGTATTTTGTTTATTTTTATCTATAAAAATATAATTGGTGTGACTGCTAGTTAATAAATGAGCTGTAATGATTTAAAGAGTTTGTAGAGTAGACTTAGTTAATGTAATGTCTCTTTATAACGTACTAGCTGTCGCTTGCGATTTCGTCTGCGGGAATTAAAAAAAAAACTTACTTAGTAGTCTGTGTTCTTTTTTTATTTTTAGAAGGGGGCAAACGAGCAACGAATCGCCTAAAATTATTTGATCCGACGCCCATGGACATCCGCAAACCCAGAGGTATCGCAGATGCGTTGCCGACCTTTAAGGAAGGTGTACGCTTCTAGACAATGTATACATTTAGGCTAAACTTCAATGAGATCCATCCAAACATTCGCATTTATAATATTAGTAAGATCTCTTATATAAAAAGTTATTAAGTTGTCTTTAGTGTAAATACAATATGAGCCTCTTATAAGTTTGTTCAAATAGAAATTATAGTATTTTTATCAGTATTTTATATTTTAGTGTTGTTATTTTCAGCATACTGTTCAGTATCAACACAGGCGGAGGTGCCGTGCCGAGACTGTGAGATGCGCAACTCTGATTTACAGCATAGAAGTCTTAGGAGATACTTTTGGTGGGTACTTTTAAATGTAAATTTTTATGTCGAAAACTCATGTAATATTCTCTTTTGACATCTGTTTCTCGTGATGAATTGTAGCATAAAAGTGAGAGCTTATTTTGTGGGGGAAAAACCTGGTTTTATTAAGAATTTAGTATTAGACTATTAGAGAGATGTGGGGGGACGAAAATAAAAACTATTTTTATATTGTAACTAGCTATCGCCAGTGACTCCGTCCGCGCTTGATTAAAAATAAATGTTAGCCGATTCATAGACCTACTCAATATGCTCACAAAATTTCATGAGAATCAGTAAAGCCGTTTCCGAGGAGTATGGGAACGAAAATTGTGACACGAGAAATATATATATATATATTGTAATAGACATTATATATGAAGCTTATGTAAGTTTTTATCTTTTTAAAACTTGAAATATGTAAAAAAAAACATAAATTATAGTAATTCTATTGGCTTGCTTCAATCTTTTCTATTTACTTCTTTTAAAATTTAAATATTTTCGTCGAACATCCTGCTGCTAATTATATTTCTTCAACTTCTGAATTAATTAATTTCCGCGAACCTAACAAAGTCCGATCAGACCACTTTGGGTACCACTGGTATTCGACTGATTTACACAAAACTAGCTTTCGACCGCGACTCCGTTTGCGCGGAATAAAAAATTAACTTAATTAGTAGTCTATGTATTCTTCCAGACTATGTTCTATATCTATGCCAAATTTCATCAAGATCCGTTCAGTCGTTCTGGTTATACTTTCAAACAAACATCCATCTATTTAAACATACGCATTTATAATATAAGTAAGATTAGTGAGATTGATACTTCCATATTCATTTATCATAAATTCCCCGCCATTTTACAAACCGACATTTTTAATATTCCACAGTATGTGATTGCAGGGAGCCGCTGAAGTGTTTGCTGCAAGTGTTCGCTGTGGTGTGCTTTGTGTGCGCGACGTGTGCCCTGTACAACGTCAGCCGGGCGGGGACACGCTGCCGGGAACCGTTGCCATGGAGATGGCTGGATGCCCAGGACCTGCTCGACTTGCTGCTCAGGATAGAATATGTGGCTGATGTGCCTATGTAATAAATCTTAGGTGCTAAATTTTGAACTAGTGGACGATGATAGCGACACTATTTGTCCTATCGTTGGTTTCTGAGACCAAAATATATGTATAAAACATGGCGTCATCCACATAGATAAAATATGAAAATTAAATAATTAAAATTATCTTTGATTAAACAGAGATAATGCTATGTTTAAAACAGAGATTTTGGTTTCGGAAACCCACGGTTAAAGGGCGATAAAGGATGTTCCTTAGTGTAGATTTTCTATAAAAACAGTAAGCTGTACTTTATATTGTTAAACTCCCTTAGGGAGACCCTTAGCTAATTAACGATTTTGAGTGGGCAAATAAAGGACATACGAACGTAACGTAAATATATTATTGCGCAAAATTATATCACAAAAATAACGATCGTTTGCTATTTTGTTATAGTATTGTTCTATTAAGTTTGTCGCCAAATATGATGAATATTTTTATACCTATTTTGTAAATTAGTTTCAAATGTTTCCCAGTTTTCAGTATCCAATGTCTATTATCTATCTTAATGCATAAATACAGTTTTGTTCAATAAAAAACGTGGAAAATAATTTCCTTAATAATCATTATCTTTTCAAGAGACAGTTAAAGAGATAAAATTCATAGACAAAGCTGAAATAAAAATATAGAAATTGAGTAAAACAAGCTTCCAGTAAATGCCAAATAATAGATTTAATTTTAATTAATCTACAATATAATATTTATCTTATAATTGTTAGAATGTTATGATTCTATGGTGCTCCATTTTAAATTTTATATTTAATAGCACAGAAAAAAAATGATACGAGTAAATTTTGACAAAAAAAAATTGCTTAACACGTCCAATGCCACCGACTCACAATTTAAAATGTGTAAACCGTAGTGGCATTTAACGTGCTGAATACAAAATTTTACGAATATTTTCTTTAAGGGTGTTGACGTAACTTGATACAAGTTTTGAAGTTGAATTAACATATGTTTGAAGTTAACGTGATTTTAAATTGCCGATATAATACTAGAAATAAATAATTTGCTATTATTTAGATTAATAATTATTAATTATTAAATATATTATTATTTTCAATTATTAATAACCACCAATTCTTGTTTAATATTGTCTTGCTCATTTTTTATTTCTTTATTCTTAGCCTGTCTTCATTTTATCTATCATAAAAACCTTGCCGTTCTTTTCTTATGAATATAAAATTAATTATTAATAATGCATGCATTTATTAGATATTTTTACTAACAAACGTAGTTGTAATTCTGTGATAGTATAGTGCCAGTGATTTACGTAAGTTTTAATATTGTATGACTGTTTGTATGGAGATTATACACAATTTGAAAATTGTATACAATTATATATACAAGTATTGAAATGTATACAAACAAAGATAATTTTTGACGAATCTCAAATGTTTAGTACATAAATTGACTGTGTTTTGACCAAATATTACTGTAAATAAAAACTAGAATTAGACAAATGACATTTTTGGTTAAGAATTAAAATACATAGATGTAGATTATAACATTTTATATAAAAGTTGAACAACTTATCGGATACAATATTTTATAAAGGAAGAGTTATATATAAAATTAAGCGTCAATAGCCTAATGGTTAAGGGTACGGATTACCGATCACGAGGTCGGGGGTTCGAATCCCGCCATTCGACTATTGTCGTAAACCATATCCTAGCACAAGCGTACAGCTTAGTTGGAATGGTAAAAGAAATATTAGTAAATTTACAAAAAAAATCTGCTAATATTTTCTAATTAAAAAAAATATAAAAAAATATTTCAGTAAATACGCAAAGTAACTCTTCTGTACTGCGTTATTATTAATTTTTGTGACGTCATAAAATTTATGTTACAGCGCCATCTATTGATAAATACGACGTGTTTTTTAACATCAAAATATTAGCCTCGTCACGTTAATCAACACAAAATGGATGTTGAATTTTCATTTGATGTGCCAATAGTGACTGATTTTTTTTAAATAATGAAATTAATAAGATAGTTGCCTACATGCTGCTGCAAGCTACATGCTAAGTGGGAAGCAAAATTAATTCTTTGACTACAATCAAAATTCGCATGCATGTAATTTTTTATGGCTTATAAAAATTCTAACATAAAATATGCTGATTAACGCACAATTTGTATACGATTAGTAAAGTTCGTTGCATTTAACTTCGCTGTTTGTTCAAGTGTTTGTATTTTTGTTTTAATGTCAAAAGGTGGCAAACGAGCGAGCGGCCACCTGAAATCGCTGATATAGCGAAGTGATTGTTGCCCATAGACATACGCAATTGCATATGCGTTGCCTACCTTTAATCGACGGAGAAGAGGATGCACAGAAAGAAAATATCTTCCCTTTCCATGCATCCTCTCATCCGGAAAGTCCACTTCCACTTCCCATCTCTTCCTTTTAAGAAAAAGGGTGGGATAGGAAAGAGGACTAAATTAGGCCTCCGGGACGCACACTCATCAGACTGCACGCGCAATAGCTTCCACTTGACGCCTGTCTTCTGTGTGGTCGTGGTATTTCACCGGACGAGCCGGGACAATTCTTGCGAAGATGTTAAAGCGGGCTCTACCACTGTTTGTATTTTTGTTTTTTTAATTAATATTGTTAAAAAGCTAATGTTTAAGTTTCTTAATGCAAATATTTACAGCATTTAATGGTGCATTTATTCACTATACGAGTTTATTTTTAAGTTTTGTTTTTTTGGTCTTAAACAGTACTTATAAATATTAGTTTAGAGTTTTGTTTTTATTTCGTTAACAAATGAAAACGGTTTTGTTGGTTAACATAAATTCGTTTTGTGAAACTTACTTTAATTAATTAGCTAATAATTAGATTTGAATAAAGTACGTAAATAATTATTTCGTTTTTTATTTGTCATCCCAATTCTTACATACATAATCTTAATACATAGCTGATGGCTGTTACATAAAATAAACAAATGTAATAGTTCGTTGGTTATCTTAAATAGCCCACACTACTAAGATTTAATTTCGAAATTCACTCAAATTATTACTACATCGATTTTATAAAGTGGCAAACGAGCAAGCGATTACCCGAATTCGCTGAAATGGCGAAGCAAAAGCTACCCATAGATATTCGTAATTGCAGATGCGTTGCCTATTTTATATGTACAGAGAAGGAGACGCCCAAAAATAGAATAATTACCGTGCGCCTTCTTTAAATTCCCGTGCGCCCCATTCACCTTTTCATCCACTTTGTAAGAAAATGATGGGAAGGGAAAGAGGACTAAAATTATAATAATAATAATTACAAATAATACACTTCCAGAACGAGCAGCTAGTATCGTAGTAAATAGAGTACAGCCGATGTCTATGAGTTAAATATAAACTAGCTGTCGCTCAGGACTCCGTCCGCAGGAAATTAAAAAAACTTAATTAGCCTATGTGTTCTTCCAGGCTATTGTACATTTATGCCAAATTTTAAGCGAGATCCATGCGACCGTTCTGGGTATACTTTTTAACAAACATACACCCAAACATCCGCATTTATATTATTAGTAAGATTATAATTTATTTGTATAAAATTAGATTCTAAAAAACAATATAAAAATAGATTTCTTATACCTATCAATGTGATAAAACTACTCGAAAAACATATAATAATGTAACACGCATTGATGCAAACTCCCGCCATAACATAATTCGAGTATCCATTGACAAAAGGAGCCCGTAATTTTCTTTTCATAAAATCTGTACACAAAGGAACAGTCAAGGTGTTACCTCACAAAGAAGTATCGAGCCACTGAGAAATCGCCTTGCAAATACTTCCCACAACTACGCCGTTTTTTTTTTGCAACAGCCCTTTATAATGTCCGGCGAAAAGGCGAAAAGATCAAATGTAGATTAAAAAGCTTTTTTTCTAATTAGTTTATATTTTTCTTCTTTAAAGTGGACGTAAGTTTTGTGTCTGTCTTCTATTATATTTAATATTTTTTAAAAGTAATAAAATTTTAATTATTAAATTTACCTTTGTTATTTTTAAATAAATTATTAACTGGATTTTTTTTTACTAAACACTGCATTAAAAAAACACATAACTTCACTCAAACCTTTCCCATAGTGACGTTATTTCATATTCTATACATTGACCCGTTCTTCATATTATAAAATTCACTATCACTGCAAACAAAAATCAACCTTACGCCTTTTGTTTAAGTTGTAAAATGGTATAATATTATTAAGGGAAGTTCAGGGTACACACCTGTCACACATGGCCGTGGGAATTAGGGGCAAAGGGACAGAGTATGTACCTCTCATATTGAACAAGGTAAATGTTAAAAAGAGGGTTTGTACGTAATTGAATATCTACAAATATTTTTTCATGTATTAAACCACTAAATAACTAAACAGTTTTTTTAATAACCTAATTTTTTTTTAATTTTTCCATTGTTTCTTTTTTTGATATTGTAGAATATTGAAATATTAGTCATTATCATCATCAGCTCACTATATGTCCCCATCAAGGGGCTCGGAGCCTATCTTAAGATAAGGGTCATTAGGCCATAGTCAACCACGCTGGCAAAGTGCGGGTTGGTTGACTTCACACATATGTTTGAATTACTTCTCAGATATGTGCAGGTTACATCACGATGTTTTCCTTCACCGTAACAACGGAGACAAATATAGTTATTATAAAAATAGGATAGTTTCCTTAGCTCGATAAAACAAAAAGTTTGTTGAGTTTGACTAACCAAAGGTAAAGTCGTTTATCATAGTAGGCATGAAAAACTAAAAAAAAAACCTTTTACAAATTGTTAGTTCAATAAAATGCAAAAAAAGAGATAAGAAATTAGTGGCGATATAAAGTCCAAACCACAAAGACCAATACAGCGTAAAAAAATAAGAGACTTATCTATGACGAATATTTACAAACATTAGTTCATCAATCACATGATTTTTTGTCTATGGTTCCCGCGATCCGGAAACTAAGCGCCGGATACTGAGATTTTATTTTTTTTAACCCACAAAAAAGGGCTGTTATAGTCAAAAGGCTAGTTTTTATAGGCACCTGTCTCCGTGGGAATTCTTGTGGGAAAGTGAAAAAAAAATTCTTTAACATATCTTTGAAACCACATCAT